CAATTAACAGCCTAATAGAATAGATGGGTTAAAAAGTACGAAGTCGAACTTTATTAGTTTTTTTCACTAATAAAAAAGTACCAACAATTTTGTGATTTGTGGACAATTTCTATGTCTTTTTGAATATGTGCCATTGAATTTGGTAACACTTTATTTTAATGTGTCTTTGTTACACGTTACATGTATAGCTATAAATTAGGCATAATTACATGCAACTAATCCTAAACCAAACCCTAATCCTAACCCTATAGTAAGTACATGTTAATTACTTAATTACATGTAGTTAATTACTATTACTCAGTACTTATTAAATGTATAATTACACTGGAATGGGGACACATTAAAATAAAGTGTAACAGTACCATTGGGATATTCCCTGATAATATCATGATATTCTTTAAAAAGTCTCATAGTATTACATGTTCTGTTTCACTGTCTTGTTTTGTTTATAGTCTCATTGTCACCATTTGTCTGAGTTCTAGACATTCATTTGTTTTCATGGTTTCTAATTAGTCCACACCTGTTCCCAGTTCTGTTAACCACCATCCTCTGTGTATTTAAGGCTTCAGTCTTCCTCAGTTCATTGTCTCGTGTTAATGTTACATTCCTGTGTGTAGTGCTTTCTGGGTCCTGTTTATTAAAAAGTATTATAATCATTCATTTTGTCACGCATCATCCTTGGTTTTCACTATACATGAAACCCCTGCCATTACCATTCGGTATCATCTCTGTATTGTGGTATTTACATTAATCAGATTATGGAAAAATATGACAGAACCATTATGTGTTAAAGCTAATAAATTGGTAAAGACCTGTTTCTCAACTGTTTTTGCTTCAGGACCCTTATTTTACATCCATCATTTTGTCATCTTTTGTCATTGTTCTGCTGTCACAAAAAAGACTTTTCTCTGTCACAGGTCACTGTAACCGGGTGAGAAAAGAAAGAGTGATTTATCTTTTTTTTTTTCCTCTACAGCATCTAATGAATTTATCAGTTGTCATCAATATATTACTTTTAACATGAGTCTGCGGACAACCCTGTAATTAAATTATCATCTCTATAATGGAAGTCAGCAGGTTGTGAAATTTCAGGGATCGATGGCAATTGATTTCTCTCATAATGGGCACCATTGTATGTAAAGACTAATTATACATGGAGGCATTTTATATTACACATTTCTTCATTTATTTACGTTCCTCGGAATAAATTAGCTTCTAAAATAAATCCACCTGAGGTGGTCTTATAATGAGTTTTTGATGTATCTAAACTCTGAGGAAATAAATACACAAGCTGTGTATGCAAGAGCTGGTCAGTACAGTAATTGTACCCATTATAAATCTGTGGCAGAATGTGATATATATATATATATATATATATATATATATATATATATTTATACACTGTATACTACCATTTGAAAAGTTTTGGGGTATGTAAGATTTTTTTTTATATATATATATGTTTTTGAAAGAAGGCTTTTATGCTCACCAAGGCGGTTTATTTGATCAAAAATACAGTAAAACAGTAATATTGTGAAATGTTATAATTTAGAAATTATAACTGAAATCATGCTGATTTGATGTTCTTATTATCAATGTTGAAAACAGTTGTGGTGCTTAATGTTTTTGTGTGATAAAAAAAGGATTTATTTGATGTATAGAAAGTTCAGCATTTATTTAAAATATAATTTTGAATGCACCCTTGCTGAATAATATTAATTTCTTTTAAAAAAAAACTCTTGCTGGCCTCAAACTTTTGAATGGTATAGGCCTATAAACTTTAGGCTACAAAATCATTTAACTTAGTGGAGCAAGTAAGTCTTTTTTAGACACTGCTCGATTCCTCTGAGTGTGTTTCACCTCTTCACCCATCCTCTGTATGATCTGTTCCGGGATTTCAAGGAGATTGAGTAGAGGATTAGAGGAGCTCAGTGTTTCATATCTCAAGACACCGAATCAAGATGTACTTCACAAACACGCACACACATAGCACTGCTTTCTGGCCTTTTTAGAAGTTGCACTTCTCTGCAGGTTTGTTAGTGAATGTCTTTATAAGTACTGAAGTGCTTACGATGCTTTCTGTGAGAAAGTTCATATTGCCCTCTATCAAAGACCATTTTGTGGGTCACTGTGCCTTTGCTTACTGAGGAAGCTGTGTAGTCAGAGTTAATGGGACGACAGGCATTACCTACTTTAAGACATCAAAATGGTTCACAACATCAAATATTAAAATAGTAACAGTAAAAGTTAATGGCAGGAGACTATCCAGTATAAATTCCTTATTAACTCACCACACTCGGAATACATTACAACTTAAACAGAAGTGTGGCGCATGAAGTTTATTATAGAAGACTATTTATGCAACAGAGTAATAATAAAAAAGGTAATTGACGTTATAATTTCCAGTGTTACTTTATGTAAAAAACAAAGCGACTTTATTGCAATTGCAACTTTGTTTTTTGGAATTGCTACTTCATATCTCACAATTGCAACTTTATGTCTTGCAGTTTGACTTTATATCTCACAATGTGACTATATCTCACAAAGCCATTTTATTCACAATTGCAACTTTGATTTTCATAATTGCAACTTCGTATCTCACAATTGCGACTTTATATCTTGTAGTGTGACTATATGTCTCTAAACAACTTTATTTACCGCAATTGCAACTTTGTTTCTTGTAATTGTTTTATGCAAAAATTGCAAAAATATAAAAATGTTATTCAAAAAGGAAACCCTAGTGATAGAAAAGAATACAGAATCAAAAGTCAATTGAAGGCTTATTTCTTATTTTAAACTAGAGCTGCTTGATTAATATGAATTAAACCTTGATTGTGATGTGATTGTGATTTAATTAAATAAATGAGATGCGTTTTAAAGTGGAGTGCTGCCCTTTTTTAAACGTCAACTCACAATTACCTTTTACTCTTGTACTCTTGAGGCGTAAATTAGCTTCTATGTGGAGTTCTACATGTACGTCTCATTTCATGCACATTTTTGAGTTTTTGGTGGGCGTTTTCGTACTTGAGTCCATAGTGGACTTTTTCTTTTGTAACCACTCTAATTGGCATATTACACCACGTTCAGCGATCCTTTTATGATTCCCACTTCCCTGTGGACGAACTCCCACATTCCCTTGCTCATCGCTCTGTGGCACTGAGGGAGTCATGCCACTTTTGTGATTCGGATTCGGATGGCTGTCACACCAGTTCATCCCTGAGAACATCAAAGCTTTTTGACTAGAGGCTTTGAAGTTCCTTCCAAAACAACAAACTGTTCCTCCACTGGCATGTGGATCAAATTGAGGAGAATGGGAATTGGACTGAAGTGCTGTCATTACTGAAGGATGGCCTAATGACATTAAACCAAAAATGGGTCTCACAACAACCATGGAGGCAGTACTTGAGGGAGCTGAGCTGGTGTGTTTTACTAATACGTTAGCCCAAGGTCTAAACCAGGCAGGTTCATGAGGAGAATTCAAAATCAAGTTTTGCACGGAGAATACAAACACTGGATCTGTTTTCATATCCTGATGTTCATTTGATGAATGTGTATGTATACAAGGGTATAATTATGGCATACATAACCCCAAAGGAGAAATATGAGGAGTGTGAGCTCTGTCAAGGTGTGTGTGTGTGTGTGTGTGTGTGTGTGTGTGTGTGTGTGTGTGTGTGTGTGTGTGTGTGTGTGTGTGTGTGTGTGTGTGTGTGTGTGTGTGTGTGTGTGTGTGTGTGTGTGTGTGTGTGTGTGTGTGTGTGTGTGTATTAGGTTTTAGTCAGCTGAATTATTATTTACTTTATTTTTAAAAAGTACAAAATGCTGAAAACACTTAAATTGGCCTTAAAATATATTGGGCTGTAGAGAATAATTCTCTAAAATTCCTCATTTTTTATTTTTAGCACTGCTGCTGGTCCCTTTTTGTATATAATTTAAAGTAGGGTAGCTTATTTAAATTTCGCTTGTATTTAGATTACAACAAAACACTCAGAATAAGGATTTCAGAATATGGAACACACACACACAGGCCCTTTAAGAGCTTCTGCTTATGTTGTTGAGGTGATTACATTTGGATTTCATCATGTCACATATCACTCTCATCTCTTTCAGCTATGTCTTAGCTGAGTTTGACATGCCACATACCAAACACACACACACACACACACACACACACACACACACACACACACACACACACACACGCACACTCAATACTTGCAACACAACTCATCCTTTCCCCCTGCGTTCCCATAAGCTACTTTATTCAACAGTACAAACAGTATACACACATACTCAACCAGGACAGCCTTTCAAATGTAAAGGTGGTTTTATGTACAATGGGGTTCATAAATCTGGGATTCAAAATAATATTTAAACCAGACAGATTTAGGATTTAAAAAAAATAAAATGTTGTGTGAATTGAAGAAATATCTAAGTCATTTATCAAATAAGAATGAAATTGCTGTGACAGTAAAAACATTTTTTGATTTTGCTCATGTGCACTTTTTGTACAGATTTAGATGTGCTTTCTTCACGTTTTCCATAAAAATGTTTGAAAAAGGCAAATTATAGCATTTTTGCAAGTATTTTCAGACTTTTGGATCCCATTGTATTCATGTCCATATGTTTAGATGGGTCATTATTTGATCTGGCGGGTCCGTTGATCATTTCCAGTAGTTACAACACATCCGGTGCCCCACATTTCCTGTTTATGTGCATCTCCAATAGCAAGTTTACTCTCCACTTACTGTCTGACATACTTCCATAATCTGCTCTGCAAATTCGGGGCATTAAACAAGATGAATTTGGTTAGCATGCTGTAGTGAAATGTAACAGTGCTTAAAAAGAGTCTAAAATGGCTTTTTGATATCATGTTTGAGAATTTCATTTTTCATTTACTATTAAACTTGGTATAAATATTCTCCTTTAAAAATAGTGACTTTAGGGGAGAAGGAGAGCCTGATGCAATTCTGAATAGATTTTGTGTGTGTGTTCTCTTCTAGCGGCCTGTTCGCCAGTCATTATACTGAGACATATTACAGAGAAGATGGACAAACTGTTAAGAGCACTCACAACTCTACGGTACGTCAAACAGTCTCACTCACATTTATCATTCGGCACACACACATCCCAGGAAGATATTGGACTGGCTTTTACTTGTTGGCCCAATCAATCAGATCAACTGTAATAAATTTGCATCTACTTTTACTGGGTTACTTCACACAAAAATGTAACTTCTGTCATCTTTTATTCACCCTTTCTGACTTCTATGACTTTCTTTCTTCTGCAGAGCAAAATAAAGTGAGACGTTTGGTCAAAAGTCCAAACTGCTCTTTTCTATACACTCAAAGAGGATGGGGACTAAAGACTGTCAAGGTTATCACAGACAATAAAGTATTGAACAAGTATCACAAAAGTGGTCTTCGGAAGTCATACAATATTGGTAACACTTTAGTTTAGGGTCCAATTCTCACTATTGCTTATTAGCATGCATATTACTAGGATATTTTCTGTTTATTATTACTTATAAAGCACATATTATTCTGCATGACCTTAATCTACATTCCTAATGCTACCCAATTCCTACCCAAAACCTAAACCTAACAACTACCTTACTAACTATTAATAAGCAGTAATTAGGAGTTTATTGAGGCAAAAGTCGTAGTTAAAATAGTCAGTTAATAGTGAGAATTTGACTCTAATCTATAGTGTGACCAATTGCTTTATGTGAGGAACAGACTGAAACTGGAACAAAAAGGAAGAGACTGAAAAAGTCATTTTTACAGAAAACCTTGATAGCCGTGGTCACCATTAACTTTCATTGAATGGAAAAGAGCAGCTTGGACATTCAACTATAAAACTAATTTTGTGTTCCAAGGAAGAAAGAAAGTTTAGGAAAGATATGAGGATGAAAAATAATATGAAATTTAATTTTGGCTGAACCATTCCTATGTTTTTGTAAAATGTAATGCTTAAAAATCTTCAGAAGTTAAACTGCACTGGCTGGTCCACCAGTGACCATCTTGACAGAAAGCTGATTAATCTTGCTGTGATGTGATGTGATGTGATGTTGACACAAGGATAGCATGTTGACATTATTGTCAGACCTGATTTAAATTGTCTACTGGGTCTTTTGTACTTTTATAATTAGACTAGTGCTAAGAACCGCAACTGACAGCTTTGACAACATGTTACCACCCCCCTCTTCCCAATAACACATGTGTAGGCTTGACAATATTATTCCTGCTGGGCATATTTAGCTCTTATTTATAATCGTGTAAGCCTGTCCAAATAACCATGAACAATCTTTTGTCTTCAAAGCTGAGGAGGACAAAAAAAATATCAAGCTTTTCTAAAAGATTAGCTCATCAGAAATAGGTCAAAACCATTTGACAAGGCTTTGGTCCGAGTGGCAATAAGATTCTTGATTGACAATCTTATTTTTTAAATGGAAAATCGTATCCAAATAAACAGAACCCAAGGATCGTGGGGAAAATGAATAACAAAGAGAGACTTTATTCAGAATCTATGCTTTGAATCAAAAAGTGACAGTTAGATTATAAAACGATTTAGGTTGAATTTCTAAGAACTGTTCAAGTATTATATTGAAGTATGAAAATTTCCACTAAAACAGTCTAAAAAGTTAATTTCTCTGCATATACTTGTGTGATCTGTCATCCAAGGCAGATACCTAGAAAAAGCAGTTTAGTATTTTCTCTGGTGATCCTTAAAATCAGGACATTATGAAAGAAAAATGACCTTCTTTTACTAATATAAGTCTCAGACTTCACTTTGCTGGCCTAGTGTATTATTTAAAAGGGCCATTAGCTAGTGAGTCGTCATTTTTAGCTCTAGCTGTTTAGATATCCTCCATCTATGGCTCTTTCTGGTACGTTCTCTGCTATTCTTGGTCTGGTAAAGCTTAAAGATGTGGAAATGGTAGCCACAAGAATGTTTTGATGTGAAGGATTTGTGCCATCAAGCGTTGATTGCTTTTGACAGAGTGGTGTGTTTTTAAACGGTTTTGTGTGTGTGCGTGAGTATGTGTGAACATTTGTGTGAGTGATGGCAGTTAGCCGGTCCAGCCTGTGGATACCAATTGGTATTTCCACATGAAAGGTCTTTGGGGGCTTGTGCCAGCCATAACAGGGGAGAATAGTTTCCTTGTAAAATAGACCAGAGCAGACGCTGCTCTTACTGGCACCGCAATGTGTGATTTTCATCAGCAGACAGCTGCTTAAATATGACTTTTGCTACGTGGCGATATGGACCAACATTATCTTGCACCTGAATGGGATCTCAGTTCCAGTAAGCCAATGATCCTATTTTATGGCTAATTGGTTTTGGAAATAACCCCATTTTAACTTGAGCTGTAAGCCAAAATTCACGTTTTCGAGTTACACAGCTGGCTGTTGGGTCAGTGACAATGTGTTCGGGATTTATTTATTATATGGATTAATTTATTCAGAAATACATAGAAAATGCAATTCATACATAGAGTGACTTCTATGTTGAATATAATTTCTGATTTAAAATTTAGTCTTTTGGAGCATAAAATAAAAACAATCCTAGGGTTATACAGCTGTCCTATATCATAATGATGAAAAAGCCAAGAATAACATGCAGAAAGACCATAAAACAGGAAATTACATCATAGAGAGGACTCCTGCAGACCCTCATGACTGTGTGTCAAGGTTAATAAGTCTAACAAGGTTAGTTCAAGACAAGGTTATTTCATTGTAAAATGCAATGTAGTGTGATATAAAAAAGTAAAAAGTATTTCTTTTCTTTTTTTTTTTTACTTGAGTTGAACCACATGATATTTTAGCCATTAAATTACAACATTTTCATAAAATGAATAAAAGGTTTACCAAAACCATATGAAACCATCATGGATACAAAGAGTAAGAACTTGGCAGATGTGTTTTAAACTATATTTTTAAAAGATTTTTCCTTTTCTTTATGCAGATTAATTGCTATTACCATGGTGAAGTCCAAGGATACGCCCACTCTGATGTCAGCCTTAGCACATGCTCTGGTATCAGGTAAGCAGAGTATCACCACCGTATTATCCCTGTATCCCATTATGTACAATAGGCAGTAATTTCAACCATATTGAGTTCTAATTTTCAAAGTCGTTAGAACTCCTTAAACAAGTAGTTTAAAGCATGTGTGCGTCAATGTGGAAAGCTATTATGAACCTTTAGTTGTCAAACATTGATTGCCTTGATATTGTTTCCAGTGGACTTCACAACTCTTCCTATGTAAAGGTTCATTTAGAGACTATAAAACCGTGAGATTAAACATCAATAAAAGCTTTAGTATCATCCCATGCTTCATTGTCCTGAAGATAAGCACACAAAGGGACTGAAAGCATTTAATATGTCATCAAAAACTTCAGCTATGCCGTTAAATGTAATTAGAAGGAGCATTTGGCTACAGTACATTTCTGAGAAGCACGGCTTTTACAACAGAAAAGGTAGCTAAAGATGAACCCAGTGCTTTGATTGAAACAAACCCAAGTTCCCAAGGTCTTCTGCATCTAATTACTAAACACTTCTTCCGAAAGTCTTTACTTTATCTTCATGATCACAAGCCTGGAGACCTTCAGGTAGGCAGATATCAAGGCCATATCTGAACACAGATGGTTGCTACGAATCAAGGCCGAGATAAATGTGATTGTGGCTTTTTATCCTCACTGGTGTGGAGGAGTGAGATGGAAATTTTACATCTGAAAATGTTGAAATATGCAATACTGTAGATCAAATTGCAATCCTGTTGAATTGTCTCTGTTCAGTACTTTCGGGTTTCATATATTTTGCATGGTTATAAATTGCAAGGAGGGTATCATCAGATATCATTTAAATTATCATTCCTTCTGAAAGCACCATTTTGAACCATCAGTATGGCTCCAGATTTTCATCTGTCATATCTCGTTATTATATTGCAAAGTGAAAACTCACTCCTCATCTCGCAACCTAATTCTGCGGCACTGTGGCTCTTATATATACACTCCCTTCATATTCAATTATCTGTCAATGATATCTTTCGAAATTTATTTTTTACACCCATGGCCATATTATTAAGGATATCAGTTTTGTCACAAATGTAAATGAACACATTTGAAAACCAGGCATTACGCTTTCGAATGAGTAGCGAGTTATTGGTCACAGAACGGGGTGGAGAAATTAGATTTGAGACAAGCCAGTGTCATTCTGCAGAAAAATCCATATCCACCCATTTCCCAATAAAACACAGACAAACAATTGGTTCATAGAATCAAATTTATTGACTGTAGAGCTTATTAGATGGTGGAGGGTCATCTGCTTTTAATTTTACAATGATATTATAATTGATAAAAAATATAATTAGATTAGAATTAGATTATCTGATCTCAATCAGAGTTCATATTATTTAGCCATGTCACTGCAGCACTAAATGGACTTCATTATTTCTCACTTTTACATCATCTTTTTTGTTTTACACTTACATACGGGACTTAGAGAATAAAGTTTCCTGACCTCAAGAAAATGCTGACCTCATTTTTGTTCTGCTTGTCGAACGACACAATGCAATGCTATGGTTGGTTAGGAGATTGCTACTACATGCTGTTTCTATGGTGTTCTAGTTATAAGGTTATTGCTAGGTGGTTGCTTACTGACCCATGTCAAATGATCTCATTGCTCATGATATTGATCCCTTAAGATGGATCAGATGGTTGAGATTTTCTCATTTTTTCTCGCTGAAGACTCGCTGATCAACTCAATGTTAAACACAGTAAAGGTCTGGAGTCTGGTGTTTATTGTTCACTGGTTTTAAGAATGACACACTTGCCATTGCTCAAGGATCTTGCTGCAGGTAATCCTGTTTGCTAAGAGCGATGAAAGGTTGTGCTGAAAGCCCTTAAATGGAGATTGTTTGGGTGTGTTTTATGCAAATGACTAACCTTGGGCACACGGTTGCTCTTTTAGAATACTCCAAATTCATTAACATTACAACAAAATGATTTATGTGTACGCATTTGTTGTGAATTTAGTCGAGATTTTTTCGTGAGAACTTCTCCTGTGTGTACAAAAACAAAATAATCCACTCAGTTATTTGGAAATCAAACCCAGTCTTTTCAGTATTTTTCAAGTTGTTGTCTTTAGAACAATCTAAAAGAGTCTTGTCTTTTAGAACAATCTTAAGATAAGAACATTCTTAATTTAGATAAGATAAAAAAACTTAATTCTCACTGCTATTCTTGTTAGAAAATAAGAAGAAAAATTGCAGTTAATTCATTTTATTCTGAAGTATGTTTTGTAAATCTGATCACCACAAAAAAGTTGCCTGTTAGCTTGCCAATAAGTTTTTGTACGTTTTGCATCAGTAAACACTATTTAAAATTGTACAAATCTTCATTCAATTCACAGAGGGTTTATCTTACTTGAAAATAAAACACTGATGGTGGAGCCAGCTTTTGAGCCAGTAAACGACACCCATGTGATTTATGAAGGACATCACCTACACTTCCCCTCCGGAACCTGTGGACACGGACACAACATATCGACTGTCAGCCATACAAGCGCTGGAGGACTGCCACAATCATTCAGCAGGAGGGTAAGAATGCAATCCGTCAGCAACTGTCAATGTAGCACATATTATGACAATGTTTTGTTTAGAGAGTGTCACTTTTTGTCTTGAGGATGAATTAACATGCATCATTCAGCATGTGATGTCTTTGTTAATGCAGATGAGGGGATTGTGGTTGCCCTTACTTCCTATGCATGCTAAAACAAGATTAGAGAGCTCGGCGAGGCATCAAAGGTTAACAGAAGATCCCTACATAAAAGTCTTGACATTGAAGATGTTCTTATCTCAACAGAGGGAGCTATTTAAATAAGATGTTCAGACGTCATTGTATTGATTCGGAAGGATAGCAGCAGATAAAAGATGCTGTTATCATGCGACATATTGGCAAACCGATGATATACATGTATAATAAGTGCTGATATTTGCAGACACATCTAAAGATTATAAACTCTTTCATTTGACAAGAAAAAAATCTAAAGGGGATGAAGACTCTTGATATTGACACCATGGTGACTACTGAACTGCTAGTCTAAGTTATAAACAACCAAAAATGTTACAAGAAGGTTAAAGGGACATTTCAGAGGTGTCACTTGTTGGTTCAGACATCAGCTTTTTTTGATGGTCAAGGTGTTTTTTCATTAACAAATTAGTGTTTTTGAATCTTTTAAGTTAATGAAAGTGAAGGGCACATGATATTTCCCATTAACTGAAGTCTTGAAGCATGTGACTGGATTATTGTTTTCAACAATTGACTATAAAAAAATAGCATTTGATTTTGAAGACTTAAAGTGGCACTGAACAAGACAAGAGTAAGTCAATCTCAAGTCATCCAAAAATTTTAAAAATTGGTTGCGATATTAAAGGTGCTCTAAGCGATGTCACGTGTTTTTTAGGCTGAAAATGTTGTTGTCACATACAGCAAACATCTCCTCACTATCCGCTATAGCTGCCTGTCCCCTGAACACACTGTAAAAAACGCGGTCTCTGTAGACAGCCCAGGCTCTACAAACGACAACAAAAACAAACTGGGCAAACCTGCACCACGAAACACAACAAACAGTATTCCAGCCAATAACCGACAAGAATGATTTGGGGGTGGGGGTTGGGGGGTTAGTGCGCTTGCACATGAAGGGGGGTGTGGGGAGTGGAGGAGAGAGAAGCATGAAGAAGGAAGTTAGCTAGAGGAGAGATGTCCTAGACAACATCAAAGACTAACGTTAGAATTATATTCTTTGATATGGCCGACACACGACCAAAGAGACGACGTTCCGATGAACAAATAGCAAAGAAGAGGGAAAAGGAGAAGGAACGCGCAAAGTCCCGAATTTACATCGGAAAAGCCTGTTTCAGGAAGCACGGAAGGGAGGGGGAGTGGACAGAAAGAGGAGGAGGGAGGGTCGAGCTAGCCTCCGTTTTGTTTGACAATACTTCGAACGTCAACAAGAAGTGACATCACCCAACATCACTTAGAGCACCTTTAAGCGAGGTTGACCACAACCCACCCACACCCCGGAACGCGATTTCTCATTTTTCAGCTGATTTCCTTGGTTGAAATCTTCAGATGGATTCAACAAAAAAAGTTACTAGCTAAAGGGCATTTTTTATTTGTATTGTATGCACAAATTTGAATAAAAATATGAACTGTTCCAGGTGGCTTTTAATGAAATGATTGAGCGAATCATTCACAAGTTGCTTATAACCCCCCCCCCCCCCCCCCCCCCCCCCCACACACACACACACACACACACACAAACAAAACTTACTGGTATAACCTGCAGAATGGGTCATTGGATGATTTAGTGAACAAATCTGAATGTTATTTGGTGAACAGATTCAAAGTCACTGGGATGAATCCAGTCACTACGCTCTGGTGGACCCTCTCGTGACTTTTGTTTGTAATGAAGGGTTGATCACACAGTAAGATGTGCTCTTTTCTGTTTGGCAGCATAAACGGGATGTTCAGAAGACCACCAAATATGTGGAGCTCATTATTGTAGCAGACAACAGAGAGGTAGGACAACAAAGAAACACAGGTTTGACAGATATTGTGGTGCAAGTTAAAAAGTTATTTTTGGTGTAGTGTCAGTCAGATATTACAATACTTTTGTGTTTTTACACTCTCAATCAAACTGTTTTTCACAGTGTACTCTAAGTTCTTTAATATTAGATTCATCAAGAAAGTAAAATCAAGGGAAATGTGCAGTCATACCCAATTGTATTGTGCAATATTTGGGTACGGTAAAGTTTCGGTTCTTTGTTTCACCTTAGTAGGCCAGACCAAAAGCAGGTCATATAGAGGGTGGGACCTGACAGAAAGTAGGGCAATGCTCCCAAATGATCAGACAGGAAACAGGAAGTGTTGTGTATAAAGTGAACATTGGATGTGGGAAAAGGAAACTGTTATCAGCACAGATGTCTGTATATTAAAAAGTGTGTGTGTGTTTGGGTGTGCGTGTGTGTGCGTGTGTGTGCGTGTGTGTGCGTGTGCGTGCGTGCGTATGAGAGAGAGATACATAGAGATTGGGGTTTTCATTCTCTCCCTGCTAATTCAATTCTCGTGCAAAACTATTTGCATAAAAAGGCTTTTTATCCCTTATATTAATTTAGTTTATTTAGTTTTACATCTGATAGGGAAGCAATTCTGGACCAAAAATGGCGACCTGTCACACTCATCTCCAAATTGCACTCTTTTTTTTAACTTTGATTGCTATTGTTCAGTGTCGCCTCTACCCTGCCGTAATGGTCACTTTCGAGTGCTCTTAAGAGTGTGCCATTAGACACACTTCTAATTATGTCCTTACAAATGAAAGTTGAAGATATTGTCAGTCAGGAGGTCCTGCATTGTTTAAACAAATCCATCTAGACTGCCATTTTATACTCATTGCAGTATATATCTCATCTCAACTTTTTCTTTTCTTTCCGTCTTCAGTTCCAGAAACAAGGAAAAGATGTGGAGAAGGTTAAGCAAAGACTTGCTGAGATCGCCAATTACGTGGACAAGGTATTAAATGCCATTCTTCACCCAAATGAATAGGAACCCTTGATTAGAAGTCTAAAATAGAGGCCTGATTGTCAGAGATGAATGTAGGACTCCTGAAGTAAAGGACGAGCTTTTAAATGAGCCCCCTTTTGAAAGAAAGATGAGTATTTTTAGGTTATAAGTTGACTGATGTCCAAACAGATATATGGATGGATTTATGTATTTCTTTGTCAGTAGATGTAAGGGGCCAAGTTCATGAAGGAATAGAGAGTTTGATATTATGTGTTCTCTCAGTTTTACAGAGTACTTAACATTCGTGTAGCTCTGGTGGGACTGGAGGTGTGGAGTGATGCCGATAAGTGTGCAGTTACCCAAGACCCATTCACAACCTTGCATGAGTTTTTGGACTGGAGAAAACTTAAACTGCTGCCACAGCGGCCACATGATAACGCCCAACTTATTAGGTATTAACTATATGTACTGTGTTGTTATAACAGTTATGATATTATTTTTTTAAAGAAATGAATACTTTTATTCAGCAAGGATGCATTAAACTGTTAAAAAAAGACAGTAAAGACATTTATAATGTACATTTATATAGATTTCTATTTAAAATATTCTATTAAATCAAAGAATCCTGAAAAAACTGCATACCCAAATCAGGTTATAGGGGAAGCAATGCATAACCAAGTCAGGCTATTATCTAAAAAAGGAAAGCATTATCACACAGTAGTATGCTACATTTGTTACAAGATCTCTGCATGTTTAATTCAGCAAGTGCCATAGCATGGTAAAATGTTATTCTAAACATAGCCTATGTATTAGTCTTAGTCTTATTATTTGGCTTATACATTTAATCTCATTTTCATTCTCTTATGGCAGTGGGGTGTACTTCCAGGGCACCACAATAGGCATGGCTCCCATCATGAGTATGTGTACCGCTGAGCAGTCAGGAGGCATTGTCATGGTGAGAACTCAATCATTACACACTCTGTGTCCCATAATTAGCACATTCACACTGAGCTGCACAACCATCCAGCTGTTTTAAAAACTTTCATGATTTAAAACCATTGAAATTTAAAGGGAGTGTTCACCCCAAAATTAAATTCTGTTATTATGCCGTTCACCCTCACGCCGTTCAAAACCTGGTACATACTTTTTCCCATGGGGACTAGAGGCCCATTCAAACCAAAGACGATAACTATAATAATGCTAAAGATTTAGTTCTATAAATTGTTCTAAATAAAAAAGAATAGCACCACACCATAACTGTAATGATAACGGTATAAAGAAACTATACAGTTGGAATCAATTTCAAAACGATTTTTGCAGCTGATGAACTATAAGAACATTGACAGCCAATCAGAATCCATCCTGCTTTAAAGAGCTTGAGCATTAACAGCGCTAGACGACATAACTGAGAATCAACAGAACGATATTGTCCTCTGGTGTGGACACTAATAGTGATCATTATAGTTATCTTTATAGTTATCGTTCTCGGTGTGAATGGGCCTGTAAGCTTAAAAATGCTTTAAAGCCTCAGTCCCATTCCTTGCAGTAAGTGTGTGTGTGTGTTCCAGAAAGAAAGTCATATGTGCTTAGAATGTGCTTTCATTTTAGGGTGAACCATTCCTTTGCGTTGTATCCCACGCACGCAGCCCAGATTATATTAAATTTTGTTTGTTTTTAATTTCAGAATTTTTCAACTGATCAATAGACACTGATCTTGGTTGTTTGCCCGGCACCCACCATCAGTACATCATCAGTACTACTGTTTTCACCACCTCGCTCCTTTAAAAAAAATTCAGCTTAAGTCATTCACTTTTTCATGGTTTTTGCCTTGGCAGGTTAGACTGCCTGTTAGATAGAGGAAGCAAAGGTGTAGTGACTCAAAAGAAGACTACTAAATCCCTCTATCTTCTTATCATGTTTGTTTGTTTATTCATGATCTCCTGGAAAGACCCTCCACTCCTTTAACCCATTCCTGCTCTTTAGGTGTGTTTTCTCTTGAAAGGCCGTGTTTTGCAGTAAAACTACTAATGATATGCTAAACACATTATCACTGCCTTAAAGGGATAGTTCACCCAAAAATGAAAATCAGCCCATGATTTATTCACCCTCAAGTCATCCTAGGTGTATATGACATTCTTCTTTCAGACGAATACAATCGGAGTTATATTCAAAAATGACCTGGCTCTTCCAAGCTTTATAATGGCAGTGAATGGCCGTTTCTGTTTTGAAGTCCATAAAAGTGCATCCATCCATCATAAAAGTGCTCCAAACGGCTCCGGGGGGTTACTGCTGATATTTACGCTACGCCATGACTAGCACTACACTACTGCCGACGTCACAAGTTGCGTAAGTTGCGCTTTAGGTGTAAGTAGACTGCATATGGCCGTTTGGCCGGAAGCTAAAATTTTACTTTGCAACGTGTTAATTAAATATGAATATTTTTCTTACACAAACGAACACCCCCCGGAGCCGTTTGGAGCACTTTTATGATGAATGGATGCACTTTTATGGACCTCAAAACAGAAACAGCCATTCACTGCCATTTTTTAATATAACTCCGATTGTATTCATCTGAATGAAGAATGTCATATGACATGAGGGTGAGTAAATCATGGGCTAATTTTCATTTTTGGGTGAACTATCCCTTTAATGGATTTTGAAAGATTATACAGTACCTATCAAAAATTTGATTTGATGTTCAAGAAACATTTGTTATTATTATCAATGTTGAAAAGTTTGTCACGTTAGTCAAGCTCGCATCAGCTGACTCTCAGCTGATCCACGTCTACCTATACGAATACGACGCCTATCACTGTATACATATATAAGCTTCTTCAGTATTATCAGCAGCTATCACGTTTCTCAGGAGCTAATTACCCTCCTCCATCCCCGGCTCCTCCTCTCGCCCAGTCGAATTATGTTGTACTTTAAAATCTTGAATTATTGATATCTGCAATACATTCATGTTGGTTCTGTTCTGTTTACCCAAAGAGGGGTTATTGCTGCTCTCCCTGCTCTTACCCATGCTAGGCTGCATGGATGCACAGGGAGTTCTTGCCCAGAATAGAACCATACCGCCAATCCAAACTGTATGTTAATTGTCAATTGTATTTGACGATAGTGGTCCTGACAGAAATACTTTATTCATCAAAGATACATTAAATTGAAGTGACAGTAAAGACATTTATAATGTTACAAAATATTCCTATTTATTAAATTCTTTAATAACAGCTTTTTCATCACAGGAATAAAATACGTTACAAAATATATTCAAACAGAAAACAGTTCTTTTAATTTGTAATAATATTTTGCAATATTACTGTTTTTACTGTATTTCTTTAATCAAATAAATGCAGCATTGATGAGCAAGAGACGTATTTCAAAAACATAAAAAATTGTAATGTTTCCAAACTTTTGACAGGTACGGTGCAATGCAACTGCAGAGAGGCTGTTTATGTTCATGTAGCGCATGATCTTTTAGCACATCGTACCTTAAGTGTGAAAATGAGTCTAATTAATCCATATGCATTTCAGCTCTATAAGGTCATGCAAGTTTAGTCTACTTTCCCAGAGGCTGCCTGTCAGTCAATGCATACTACCCATGCAGCCATTTATTGCTGCTTTGCTGCTGTATGACTAAATAACACACATTTACATTTTTATTAGTCTAGATCTATCATCCATGCCACTATAACAAACTGTCTCTCTTAAGCAGGGCCTCACAGAGATGAAGTCATTAGCCATAGGTCTGAGTTACAAACTATTTTGGTGCTGAATGATAAATGATTTCCATTAAGTTCTTAAAGGGACAGTTCACCCAAAGATGAAAATGCTGTCTCAATTACTCACCCTTCATTGTTCTTCTGCCACAAAAAATAAATAAATAAATAAATAGATGTTAGGTAAGATGATCATCTTGTTCCTTTTCCATACATTGAAAGTGAAAGGGTCACCAGGGGCTGTATGTAAAGCACCATCATGTAAAACAAATAGACTATATCTGTAGTTCTGTTTTCTGTTCATTTATTACTTTTTTACTTCATTTGTATGAAAAACAGCTGCATGAACATTCTGCCAAATTTCTCTGTTTGTGTTCTGTGGCATGAGGGTGTGTAAATGATGACAGAATGTTCATTTTTTGGAAGAGTATTCCTTCAAGTTACTTCATAAAATCAACATATCCATTAAAGAGAGAAAGAGAATGAGAGAGACAGAGGGGACATGAAAAAGAAGAAGAAAAGAGGTTTGATTTAGGAAAAGACACACTGTACACTGACTGATGTATTTCTGTATTGGCTTCTGTGGTTTCAAAGTCTTGTTTTCATATGTGCGTCTCCCCCATGCACTAACATATGGCAAACAGAGACTAAAAATGAATCCTGCAGTGAATTAAACTATCTTGTACCATGTTATTAGACTGCTCAGCTTAAAAGGTCTTCAAAATCCTGTGTTAACTCACAAATTGTCTAAGAAGATTTGAGTGAAACAATATGACCTTTGGACAAACCATAATGGGCACTTCTGTCATGATTTTAGGAATCCAAAAGTTGGGAATTTCTTTGATAGGAGATACCTTACAAAATCTGGAACTAACTTCACAGAAGCACAAGAGCACTTAAATATGGCTGTTACCACTAAAAAGACACCATGTTCTCAATGTGGCAGCTTGGTAGTGGCTTCTTGGAATAGTTCAGTCTGGATTTCCCACGGCATTAACCACTGTATTAGTCTGTGATTATGCTCAGAGAGGGGCAAGTCAGTCATACTCAAAATATATGGTCATCAGTGGCACCCTATAGATCTTGAATAAATGAAATGAGGCAAAGAAATATCACCCGTTGGCACTGAAAGCTTAGATGAGCCTGTCATGTTCCTTGCCCTGTAATCAAGGCAGGAAATGTCATTTTGATGTACAGTGAAATGGAAAAAAGGCAGTCAGGGTACAGTTGTGTGAAAAGATGGCAGCTAATCTAAGGGGGAAAAAATCTGTTTCTGGGTTTCAAGAGGTGGTTCGCTGGTAACCAGGTCACGTTCGTGAGGCAGCAGGGAGGTTTTCTTCACCTCAGCTGAAATGGATAGCGCTGAAGCTCTGCTTTGTTCTCTGTGAACAGATGATGAAGAGAGCAGAACAACAGAGGAAGGAGAATAAGAGCAGTGATGCTTATATGTGTGTCTTATAGCAAGGTTGAAAGAGATTTTAAAAGAGTGAGTTTGAAAGAGAAATGATAGAAATTCACGGGAGCATCTACAGCCCTTCAAGACATTTAATAACAGCTGTCTGCTGGTCCTTTCACGTGTCATACATTATTAATCAGCTATTACAGGTTTTTTTTTCTCAGTCTCGACTCTTGAATGAAGAAAGCCCCGACATGAAGATTATTTGAACATTATTATTGTGGTATACTAGTAAGCATTGAATAAACATGAACTTTGAACTTTGGCACTGTTCATTTTTCTAGCACATTTGTATTTTATAAAAGTGCTGATCTGACAGCCTTATTTTAATTTTTGCAAAAAAAAGTGAGTGTCGCCATGCAGTTGCTAAGATGTTCTGAGTGGTCTCTAGGGTGTTCCGTGTTGTCCTGATATTCTGGTCCCTAGACATGGCTCCAATACCTCCTTCATCCCTCGTTTTCCCATTCTTTATATGGGCAAAATCCATGCATTTCAATAGAAACCTATGCAATCTGGAATTTTGCGTGAGTGCGAAAGATTTACCCACACAAATTTCGCAACAGGTTCAACTTGGTCAAGTGAATTCGCCCCATTGACCCAACAGAACGCTGCTTGGTTTGAAAGTAAACTGCTGCATGCATTGCTACACTATTGATAATAGCCGATGAACCTTTGTTGCTTGTGAAATTTCACGAAAATTTCGCTACTGTTTCCGCACCTTAAGTTTACAATGTACATACAGCACAAACTGGTTTGAGATATGTTATGACACTGTGTTGTTTCCTATAGGATCATTCGGACAATCCTCTGGGAGCTGCTGTGACCTTGGCCCATGAGTTGGGCCATAACTTTGGAATGAACCACGACACACCAGAGCGAGGATGCGGCTGTAGGATGACTGTAGATCGTGGCGGGTGCATCATGACCCCCTCTACAGGGTGAGTATGTGCTTAAGAAACATGTTGATCACAGAGTTATCCAAACCAGGTTTTGCCACTTGACAAACCACTGTGAGTAAATAGGAATGTTTGAACAGATCAAGATCTAACAAATCCTTAATAATCTCCTCTTGTACTCCTGAGTGGAGTAACCTGTTTGGATGATGTGATGTACAAATGCACTGCAGACGCATCACTCTACAGCTCAATTAGTCTCCAAAGAGCCCCATTATCTGGGGAACGGGCAAATCAAGCTCTCATCATTCAGGTACACAAGAGAATAATCAGCCGTTTACCTGCATCTTATTGACCAGGGGTTAATTAGCTGTGTCTCAGTGATGAATTTGCACTAAATACCCATACATCATCACTGATGTGAGGCTTGTCTCGGATTGAAACTCAAAAACTTGTAGATAGGTTTGGATTTCAGACATTCAGTCGTCGTCTGGCTTCTCGTGATAACACGCTTGCCGGTAATGGTTTTCAGCATGTGACTGGTCTCGAACATGGGTAAACACCAGGTTGATAAGGTGAGGCTGGCACATAATGGGAAATTTTTCTCCTTACACTTACAGCAGTTTGCCTTATCAGACGATGAACCGGAGAGTCAGTTGGGATGGGGTCTTTAGATGTAGTATTGGAGTACTGGAATGGACCGAATGTGAAATCTGCCATCCTTGGGTGCTCAGTTCTGTGGCCAGGTTGTTTCGAGCCAATCACTTGAGACATAAATGTCATGTGACTAATCAATTTGGAATGGCAGGGCAATGGCAATGACAACTGCAGGACAACACTGATTTGCTGACGGCAATGAGTAAGATGTGACATTAAAGTTCTTTTCACACTTTTTTAAGAGTCAGCACACTTTTTTCACTGTAATGAAATATTTAATTTAATTTTACTATACAGAACAACTTATTCAAATATGCTATTTATTATGTCTCACATCTACCAGCAAGGGGGACCATGCTAACCAGTAAAACCTTTTGGTATAATTAAACTGGTTCATTCTCCACTCGTATGCGTTGTTACACTATGTACACTACCGTTCAAAAAATTGCGCTATTAAAAATATTATACAATTTAAAGTAACTGTTTTTGATTTCATTATATTTTTCAAATGTAATTTCTTCCTGTGATGGCAAAGCTGAATTTACCCCAGTCTTTAGTGTCACATGATCCTGTGATCCATGATCTTGTTATTATCAATGTTGAAAACAGTTAGTGAACAGAAACCATGATACATTTTTTTTGATGAATAGAAACAGTATTCGTATTCGTTTTACATACAAATATTTTGTAACATTATAAATGTATCTACTGTCACTTTTTAAAAACAAATTTTTAACAGAAGTGTATACTATGAGGACGTTTTTTGTTAGATGTGAATTATTGAGCTAGTACCTCATAATTCTGTTTAAAATACACAATCATTAAATTTTTTTATCTTTTTTTTATCTTTTTCAGTCTTAAAATGAAATGTTCTTGGTGTGTGAGACACACATTAACTTCTAGTGTTTTTGAAATATTCCAGGATCAGACTTATGGCTTTTTTCAGCCTTCGGTCTAAACTAAGCTGCAGTTTGCTGTTTCTGAAATATTGCATGTCAGTGACTAGTAATCATCTGTCCGCTCTCAGCTGTGACCGGTTTTCAATATCTCTGCTGTGCATGTCTTATCTCATAGTGGGGATACTTTTGTTGGACCGCTGCTCGACCCTGGATCACGACCATAACAAACAGCACAACCCTATTCTCCCATTATGTGTTCATATGACAACAAGACAACATGCTGTGAAGAAACCTCTCTGGGCTTTTTAAAGCTACCTCGGGGGATGGGGGGGGGGGATGGGGGGGTCACGAGAGGTGGTTTTTGTCGTCTATTTTAGCTGCAGGTACCGAGGAGAGGTTGACATTATTTTTACTTTTTTACTTTAAATATTCATAGGTCCAAATTCTTCAGCAGCGCAATGGATGAATGCTTAAAAAGACGTGGCGCTTCTGTAAAAAGAAGGTGCTTTTAAAAGAACGCTGGAGTGCCAAAGCTTGTCTCCACCTTTCAAAATAACCCCTCACACATCGTTCAGTGCAGCGTCATTCGGGGTTTTGAGGTCACGGTTTAGAGTTTGGCGTCCACTTTTTATAGGTTCATGTAGGGTTCATGTAAGTCAAAGCGTTTGTTTTGTATTTCAATTCAACTTTATTCCGGACTCGTGGCCCAATATAGATTCAAGACACACACACACACCAAATAAAAAGAAACAACAATTAAATTGGCATTTTAAAAAGACAGCTGTACCAGTGCCTCGACAGCTTGGACTGGTATTGTTTTAGTGGCAGTTCACATGAATTTGTTGTATCAGAGAAGCTGTGTACTATTGCAGAGTCAGGAAAATGCTGGCCTATTTTTTACTTCCCATGGGAGAAACACAGGCTTCCTTAGTTTATTCAACCCTAAAGGCCGAAACTCACGGACACACGCGGTCTCAAAGACACAAAACACACATGCATAGACTAAAAAATATATATATTTCTTAAAGTTTTTGTCTTATTTTAAGGATTTTTTGATATTTTTACTAACAAACTAGATCAGTTTACTTTTGGAATTAGAACTGCTCAATATATTGAAATTCAAAAGATTAGAGTCAAACGTTTAAAATTAATGAATACTTGTATTCAGCAAGGATGCATTATTTTGGTCAAAAGGAAAGATATTTATAATGTTTAAAAGACTTATAATTCAAATAAATGCTGTTCTTTTGAACTTTCTATTCATCAAAGTTAAAAAAAGTTCCCAAAAAAAAAAAAAAAAAAACAGCACAACAGTTTTCAACATTTATAATAATAAGAAATGTTTTTTTAGCAGCAAATCATTATATTAGAATGATTTCTGAAGGATCATGTGACACTAAAAACTGAAGTAATGGCTCCTTTGCCATCACAGTGATAGAAAACTTTAAATTATAAAATATTTCACAATATTACTGTTTTACTGTATTTTTGATCAATAAATGCAGCCTTAGTAAGCATAAGAGATTTATTTTTAACTGACCTCATATTTTCTGACCAGTATATATTGATTAATTAGCTTTATATATTTGATCGCATTGGCAAAGTACATTTTTTCTTGTTTTAAAAATAATTCTCACTGAATTTATGCTAAATGCATAAATGTACGTTTAGTTTATGCTTAAAAATACTTAATATAGTAGTTTAGCAACGTGTAAAATACGAAGAAATGTTAAAAACTATTAACCTTAAACTTAATTTAAGCTATATTATGTGGAAACAAAAAATATGCTTAAAGGTCTATTTTAAGGATTAGACCATTTTAAGAGATAAATACTATTTAAGAAAAGGATTATTTGCAGTTAAAAATAAACATGACGCACACCGATTCAGATAATAATAATAAATCATTTCATGTGTTTGATCCTTTGTCTCAATGCTGTTTTCACTGGCTAAATAAACCTTCTGTAAGTTGGCCTTAACAAAGCGCACATTCTGGCTCTGATTTATTCAGTTCCTCAAAACCCGTTTCCTGCTGTTGCTGGATTTGTCACTGTTACTCTGCAAGGATCTATTTTAAAGTTCAAACATGAGAAATTCATGATCATGCATGCAGCGTTTCTCTCTCTCTCTCTCTCTCTCCTCTCTCTCTCTCTCTCTCTCTCTCTCTCTCTCTCTCTCTCTCTCTCTCTCTCTCTCTCTCTCTCTCTCTCTCTCTCTCTCTCTCTCTCTTTGACAGTTTTTGTGAGCTCTCAGCCCCAGTGTCCTAGCTGCAGCGTCGAACGAACAATAACATACAGTCTGGGAGATTCAGAGCTGGAAACTCAGCAGAAAAACAATTGCAAATGAGACTGAATAAGATGGTCTGACAGACAGGACAAGCAGACAAAACAAAGAAAGATGGAGCGACAAAAATAGAAATTAAGAACTACCGTAGATCTGCTTCAATTCATGCTGAAGCATAAACAGGAAGTTATTGTCGGCTTCTTAATGTTTTTCAGCCAAATACAATAGCCAACATGCGTGCCAAACAACAGTATAAGGAAGAAATAAGGCACAAGTTTGAAAATGAATGGAGGAAATTGTAATGCTGGATGGTAAATAATATGACGGCTGTAAGAAAAGGAAGTCAAGTTTTAGTCTAAAGAGCTAATCTCCTTCTTTGCTTATTATTTCCATGTATAAATTCCTATGAAGTAAAACTTTTGTTATTGTGTTTCCCCCATTCAGTTAGACAGGAACTGGAAATGGCTGTCAGGGACGTTATCAAGGGGGACTAACTTACTCTACAAAGGCACCAAAGAACAAAAACAGCATATATCTTAGCTTGAGGTAGAGGCTATCAGCAGGGTTTTAAACATTGGGATTTCACAAGACAGTGCTTACCTCACACAATCTCGGCCTGTATCTTCACTGCAGAGCAAATGAGGGAATAACGTTTAGCCATAATATCAAGCATGTCAGATGGCCTTTTGGAAAGATGCTATCGCTTAATGGGTAACGCTTTCACCTTTTATTGTGGTGGCCGCACACCGAATCCCAAACGCCGGTGTTATCTTCTAAATGACAGGCAGCACAATAGAGCCCGACTTCGAATCAGTTTGCGTCGCCGGAGGAGGCTGATTAAACAGACATTAATTTCCTCATTCCCCACCTATCGCTGATAACATAACAGCTCCAATAGGTCAAACTCAGAATGGGGTTTCGAAAAAAAAGTCTAGATACAAATGACTTTGAATTGCAGCTTACCACTTAGAAACAGTCTGGGCAGGTTAATTCAGATGACCACTATGTGTGTGTGTCTTTAAAGTAGTCGATGTGTGCAAAAAGAATGAGAATGTTTTTAAATATAATTTAAAAGTAATGGATTCAACGCAGGATAATTTGAAAAACTTGCCTGTGGTGTCACCGATGTTAACAAAAGGTAAATGTGAGATTAAAAACCATTTGCTGAAGCAATGCCATTTTAGCTTGCTTCTAGTCTTTGAGCTA